AGGTAAGTAAATCTGGCCCTACGATGTGTCCCGCACCTGGGGATGGTCCTTCCCTCTTCTCTATAGAGGTAAGTAAAATTGGCCCTATGTCGTGTCCTTCGCCTGGGGCCGGTCCCGAGTTCTTTTGTATAAAGTTAAGTAAATTCGACTCTACGTCGTGCCCCTCGTCTTTGAAGGAAGCTTTAGGAACAACTTGAGGGTGCCTAATTTTCACTCTCGAGGCCTCGATCAAATGCACGTCCTTGTGTACTACAAGTACCAGAAGTAAGAAAACATTTACCATGGTCATCTTCATAATTGAGGTTGGAAACAAGAAACCAGATATCTTAGRTAACTCAAGGCTACTTTAAAATTTACCTAGGCTCGTTTTATATAAGCATTTTAAAGGTGTTTAGTAATGCATTTAATTAAATTCACTTGTGAAACTCTTTACGAATTATTAATGAGAGTAATTAATTACCATTTCTGTTTTAAAAAAGTGCGTTTTTTTTACTTTTGGTAATATTAGACGAGATAATCTGTCTTTTAACATGCTTTTTTTTAAAACGGTAAAAGAAAACTTTATTCAAGAACAAACTATGGAACAAATCCGAACTCATAAAAAGTGGACACTAAAGGGAATTAATTTGACTATTTTAGATATTTATGTCATTTTTTTATTAGTTTATTATATTTAAACTTTGGACATAGGGATAAATCTTAATACCGATACTTCATAAAATAGTACATGGATTGTTATTTCAGGTATGTCAGAACTTTTATGTGGAATAAACATAAACATAGTGGAATAAAGTGGAATATGTCTGTTTCACCTCCACCCCATGGAACAAACATATAATTTAGTAATATAACCATAAAGTAAAACTTAATTCTTTTTTAAAATAGCAAATACGTCTCTCTCTTTACATTTTATTCATTTTTTAAATTTTAGTTATTGTATTTTATGCTCTTTAAACTTTTACTTTATTGTTTTTCAAATATTATTTTTAAATGATTTTTATATTTTAATTTATTTAATAATAAAAATAACCGTTTAAAATGGTTTTATTTTCTAAATTTAGTGTATCTCATATCGTTGTTCAAGTCATATATAAGAATGAACGTGTCCTCTAAAACCGAACAACAAACCATCGCTTGTTCAACATCACTTACCGTTCAAACTAGTCGAACCAAGTCTAGTTGGACCATTTTAGTTGTTTGAACGGTCTAGTTATCCGGTCTGATCTGAAAAATAGGCAAACTGCTCGGTCTAGTTTAATCTACGGTTTGAACATTTTATTAGCAGTTTGGATCGAACCGCCCGACAAAAGTACGCAGGTATTATTCGTGTTTAGTTTTCATGTAGTAGCTCAACTTTCATAACCCAATTAAAGAAGTTTGTCCAAGACTTTATGTTTTAGTTTTCATTTATCAATTGGTCGTGTTCAATAAATTGAAAAAATTACGAAACCTGTCAAAAATAAATTAGAAATTCCAAATCGTCCTCCGACTTGCTCAGTGTTAGTTCAAAATTCCAATTATTATTGGTCGACTTGTTTAACATTTTTTCCAATTTGCTTAATGCCTTTTATTTTATTTTAAAGATAGACGTTCCCTTTTTAATTTGATATGCTATTTAAGTTTATTGTAGTATATATACAGTTCTTTTTAACGTAAATTAATGTTTGATTCAAATCTTGTTCGTTTTAGATAAAAATTTAAAATTTTGTTACGTTATTTGTATGTAGCGAGATATATATCGATTTTAATGTTTCATTTTATTTTTTTGGTCTCTGTCAATATTATAATACGAATTTATATGGTTTTGAGCAAACAAAAATGTTTTTTTCATAAAATATAAATTTAAAAATATCATAGAAATTAAAAAATTATATAAAAGTCTCATTTTTTGTGTAAATTCTTTGTTCAATTTTTTATTATAATTTAATTTAGGCTTAATGACGAAGTAATTTATTTTTGGTTTAATAATATAATTTTTATATAGATAATAACTAAGTATTCTGTTAAAATTAAATAATTATTGTAATTATATTTTAGATATATTTAAAATGAGAATTTTATCTTGTATTTGATTATATATTTATCTACAGTTAATTACACTAATTCCAATATGGAGCTTAATAAGTTGTACTTATGTATAATTTAGTTGTAATCTTGAATTTTAAGTACTATGCACCAATAAACAATACTTCATATATAAAAGATGGTTTTTAAAAGTTTTTGTCAAATATTTTATAATATAGTATAGATATAATAATATGTAACAAAGTATTTAAGAGGAGGTCAGCGTTCAAACCTCACCAAATGTAAGGACGGTGTGTGAGTTTATTTGTTCTATTTGTCGTATATAAATATTATATACTTAAAAAAAAAGTATTTATGAGAAAAGTGCTTATCAGTGAAGGTAATTCAAATGCTTATTTTTCATATTTATATATTTTTTTGAAATAGTTAATTTCAGGCTTCGTTCCGTTTACAACACTGATGCAAATCTTCTAATGGGCACATTTATATATGTAAATGACGGGATTTAAATCGGGTTGATTTTATCAACCATTTGTCTCTATCCACTATCC